GGGGGGGGGGGGGGGAAGAGAGAGGAAATTTGGTCAGCCAAAGGTTAACAGATGACCCAAATTGGCCCGGCCTCCAAGGGTTCTGGGCTTGCTGGCTCTCACGCTGGGCTCCGTCTCCCTTTCGTCTTTCAGGATGCCACTTTCTTCACGCGGAAAGAAATCCTGAGGTGAGACCTTCCCTGCGGCGCATTCCTTCCCGTACATCCCAAAGCTTTTTGAAGTGTGGGGATAGAAAAAGCGGATTTTCGACTTTTTCCCAAGCTGAAGGGAGGCCCTTATCCTAGTTGTGAACCGTTGCAAAGGCTCGGCGCCTTCTCCTTAGGCCGGCACTTGCACAGGGCTCCAGGCAGCAGGTTGACAAGTAGCAGCCAAGGTGTGCGTGTCTACTCAGAAGTCGGTCCTCTAGAGTTCAGCCTGCTTTTTATTCCAAGCTAAAGTGCCACCATTGAAAAGCAATGCAATTTTAGGATCTTTTTGAACACAGATTTATCACGCAACCCCCCCCCCCCCACGTGCTATAAGGGGACCGGGTCTTCTCTCCCTTCCCTGGGTGGTTCTTGCAAGCGGGCAGGGGGGGACCCGGGTCACGCTGGGTCAGGACATCAGGGAGAAGAAAGAGCGCCTTAATCAGGAGGAAGCTGCTCCCCGTTGCCATTTGTCACAGCTGGGAGGGAAGCCTGCTGTTCATGAAACCCAAGTCTGGGCCTGTTTTCATCTCTGGCACGGCAGCCAAGCTGCCATAACAGCATCATGAACCAGGCTCTGCATTATTGATCAGGGAGGGAGGGAGGCTCTTCAAAACGTGGCCTTCCTTCTGCTCTTCCCCATGGCCCACGGAGGAGATAAAGAGGTTCCTCCTCTTGCCCCCCCCACTTGGTTTGGAACCACCCCGTTGGCACTTTTTCATGACTTCGGCCCCCAAAGTCCCACGTTCGAGGGTCCGAACTGCAGAAGGAAGCGACACACTTAGATCGGGGCCGAGGGACGGTGGAAGGTGTGCGGGAAGGGGAGAGCCACCGGGGGAGGATGTTTTGGGGAGCGCCGTTGCTTGGGCCGTCCTCGGAAACGGGAACCCAGGCCGTCCTCTGACCTTTGGGAGGCTGCCGTGCGGCCGCCCAGCCTGACCGGTCCCTCACCGCAAGAGATGGACTCTTCCCTAAATGCCAAGACTTGACAAAGCATGGGGCCTCCCCCCTCAAAAAACCCCAGGACGTTGAAATCCTTAGCAGTCACCCAATCCGCTGCCATTCTCTCCCCCCTCCCCCCATGGGGCAAATGCAAAGGACCCTCCCTGTTGTTGTTAGTTGCAAAGTCGTGTCCGACCCATCGTGACCCCATGGACAACGTTCCTCCAGGCCTTCCTGTCCTCTACCATCTTCTGGAGTCCATTTAGGCTCACACCTACTGCTTCAGGGACTCCATCCAGCCACCTCCTTCTCTGTCATCCCCTTCTTCTATTGCCCTCCATCTTTCCCAGCATCAGGCTCTTCTCCAGGGAGTCCTTCCTTCTCATCAGGTCCTTGAGTTTCAACTTCAGGATCTGGCCTTCTAAAGAGCAGTCAGGGTTGATCTCCTCTAGGGACCGACCGGTTTGATCACCTTGCAGTCCAGGGGACTCGCGGGAGTCTTCCCCAGCACCAGAGTTCAAAGGCCTCCATTCTTTGGTGCTCAGCCTTTCTTACGGTCCAGCTTTCACAGCCCTACATTGCAACTGGGATCCTCCCTAACCCTCGGGAAAACTCAGAGGTCCCCATTGGGAATGCAGGATCCGGTCCAGGCCGAACCCCTGCAGGTCCGACAGGCTGATCCCCAAGTGAGCGGAGGAACCAAAATCTTAGGATACGTTTGCCAACTCAAGGGGGGCTCCGGCTTTTCTCCTACAGTCCAGGGGCCGAACCGCCCAGGGAGGAACGATTGAGGGAACTGGGTGCCTCAAGGCCTAATGGAGAGGAGGACCAGGGACGAAGGGACGGCAGCCTTCCAGCATTTGTGGGGCGGCCACAGAGAGGAGGGGGGCATCGACCTATCCTCCAAAGCACTGGAGGGCAGGACGAGAAGCAACGGGGTGGGGTGGGGCGTTGTGGGTGCTCCATCGCTTGAGGTTCTCAAGAGAAGATTGGACAACCGTTTGTCCGGGGTGCTATAAGGTCCTCCTGCTTGAGCAGAGAGTTGGACTAGAAGACCTCGCAGGGTCCCTTTGGGCCCTACGATTCTATGGCTCTGAGGGCACCTGGATGTCCACACGCCAGCCGGAGAAGACTTGGAGGGTCTCCCACTGGGGTCCAGGGAGATTTGGTTCCATGCAAACAGGGGGTCCGAAGAGGGGCCTTGTGGCTGACGGAGGACAGGCTGGAGGGAACCGGGAAGGTTTCCTTTTGAGGCAACTGGAAGGGGGGACACGGCGACACGACCCAAAAGAGGGTCTCTCTCTTGAAGGAAACTCTACATCCTGGAACTCGCAGCAGCACAGAATAAAATTATGGAGCAGAAGCAGACGAGAAAAAGCTCGAGGGAGGAACGGTCCTTCCACCGCCCAAAGAGGCAGCTGGGCCTGGCGCCGAAGGCCCCAGGGCAGAAACCAGGAGACGAGGAGTTCTAGTCCCACCTTAGGAGTTCTAGTCCCACCTTGGGCCAGCCAGCCTCTCGCTCGCTCGCTCAGCCCAGCCCGCCTCAAAGGGTTGTCGTGATGGGGAAACCGGGAGAAGGAAGGAGCCTTCATTATGTTCATAGATAAATAAATCAACCCTAAGCGGGGGGGGGGATGCCGGAGAGCAGCCCATCTTGGCAGCGTCCCTGGAGGGAATGGGGGTGCTTGGCGAGACCCGTGCAGGGGGGAAGATGCCTTTGTGGGCCATGGCGGCCTGTTCCCAGCCCAAGAGGGGTGGCGCCGGCGGGGGTCCCTTGGCTTTGGCTGACCGACTGAAGACAGGACCCGGCCGGGGCCTGCCAGCCGAGAAGGAGATCTCCCCTCTCCTTCCTTCCTTCCTTCCTTCCTTCCTCCCTCCCTCCCTCCCTCCCTCCCTTCCTTCCTTCCTTCTTCTTCCTTTTCTTCCTTCCTTACAGATTGTTTGACAAGTACCGGGACTTGGCGCCCCAGTTGGTGCCCCAGGACTACACCAGGAAGCCCAGCGTGAAGCTCCCCTACGAACTCATTGCCAGCATGCCGGAGCTCAAGGTACTACGGGGTGGAGGGGGACAAGGGTCTTCCCTGCTGGGACGGCAGCCAGTTTGGCCCTCAGCATGCTTGGGAAGGGGTGTGTGTGTGGGGGGGGGAGGCAAGACATTCAGGGCTGGTCCTGCCGGGCCCGGGGGGG